AGACAAAATCAGGATTCCCTATGAAGCATCAGTGTCATGAGGTGCTGGGGAGGTGAGATGAGGTTTATCTTATATTTTGAGGATGATTATGTTCTCTTTGTGCTGATACAAGCAATTACTGTTGATCACCAAGCAGCAAAAGAAATGGAAGATATAGAGGGGGGGGGGGCTTGCAAACTTAACTTGTTGGGTTTTAGTTTTGCATAACACGACGTAGGGGTGATTTAGATCTGAACCCCATACTGCCCCGTCTCTCCAACGCGGCTGAGACAGGTCACATGGGCTCCTGGGTTCTCCAAACCAGCCTGCCTGTCACTGATTGCCCCTTAATGGTTGCCTACCTTCCTGTGCTCTGTGTTACAATGACACACTGTTATTAAATGGCAAATGTTGTACTGTACCACTCCCATATTTTGCAGCCTAGGTCTGTGGATCTTGGCACACCTTACCTGAATTAATACGGCTTCAGCCTGACGCCCTGTGATATCATTAGGTTTGTTGTTGTTATTGCTGTATGTACAGGTACAGGGAAGCAGAGGGCCTTACCCAAGGTTACCCAGTGAATCAGTGGCTGAGTAAAAAATTAACCTCTGAGTCCTGACTCCTGCTACCTTGCTCCAGCCACTTTCAGCCCACTTCTAAACTGATATAAGAGCTAGATTCTACTAGATTCAGAGTGCTCGGCTCCCCATCCAGGTGGAATCATGGTTTCAAGGAGACAATGCCTGTGCTAACTGTGAAGCCTATCAGTGTATACACGCTTCAGAGGATCAGGGCCAGAGGACTCAGTACTCTTTCAGGATCCAGCCCCAAATCAGGAATAGATTCACTGCAGTCATTGTGGCCCCACTGCTGCAAAGTGAGTATAAGTGAGGTTGGAACCAGGCCCTTAAGGCATGTCTGCAACACCTCTGGACCTTGCTAATGAGCACTTCTGGGAAGCATGGTGCACACATCCCACATGCACTGAGTCTTCAGATATGAAGCTGCCTTAGAGCAGCCCAGCCATGTGCCACTAAGCACGCCTGAGACAGGGAGCTAACTTATTGCCATGTACCCAGTGCTACATTCATGCGTCCATTTTGGGTGGGGGGCATGCTGGAAGCAGGCATGCTGTGCTTTAGTGGCATCTCCTCACACAGGGATCCATCCTTTGTGTTTGGGTTTGGGCTAGCACCATGCTGCAGTATCAGATGCCTTTGTTGCATCTGATAGCACCATGCAAAGTACAGCAGTGTCAGAAAACAGTCTTTTAGCCGATGGCCTCAACATGCATCTGCACTAGCCTCTATGGTGCACATAGAGAAAGACGAGAGAGCTCCCTCAGGGTGTGATATTAAAAGAAGGGGGTCACCCAAAATAGGGGAGTCCAAAAAAAGTAAGCAGCAGATCTGTCTCCCCCACTTCTGGTTGCTTGAGTGACACAAAGCCACCAGTGACCTACCCTACTCGTCAACTCTTCACATAGTAGCGTAGCAAGGGCTGTGGTTTCAATATCATCTTTTGATATTATTCCCTGGTCTCATCTTTATTAAAACACTCACATGAAGCAAGATACTGAAATAAAGGCATAAAACGGTTTTCTGGGGAAATATGGGCATAAAACTCCCTCTTTCTGAACCAACAGGCTCATATACACACACCCACACTCTGAATGGATGTTCAGGATTTATCCTACTTATTATCTGGATATTGCTACAGTGTTATTCATATTTTTTGGAAGCCAGCCTTTACTCCCTGCTTTCCGGAGCTGAAGGCCAACATTGTCAAGTAATGCAGCCACTGGCTTTGTTTGCAGGTCTTCAGGTACCCAAAACATGAGGCTGACTTAACTTGGGCAATCCTGGATTTGCTTAGCGCTGTAATAATCTAGTCCTAAGACTATTTTTTTTACCTCTTTGCAGCCAAAGTTGGGGATAAACAAGCTATTAATGACATTCATTTTCCAAGCAGAATGGGGAAAAACAGGGTGAAGGTGCAACATAAGCTTTTGTTGTCTAAGGATTGTTTTTTGATGTACCTCACTTAGCATCCCACTGCATTTTGCATTGCTTCTGACATCTTGCATGACACTGGGCTAAGGTCAAATGCAGTATCAGCCATGTTTGTTATCAGAAGATAGACAGTGATCTTACAGTTTGTTTCCATTTGTAACAGATATGGTCTTCTTGGGTTTTTGCAACCTGGCTTGGAATGTTTGCTGAGCTATTGAACAGTACTAAATACAGCAAGAACACACATCTATATATATCTATTACTATAACTCTGCTCTGTGCAGGGGTCTGGGAATTACATTCACCTGAACTGAATTCAGGATTGGGGCCATTAAGGGGGTGTGCAGCCACCTCCACCCCCAGATCCTGTGCTAAGAACAGCTCAACTGGACCTCAAAGTCCCTCTCCAAGCATCTGAGATGTTCTAAGCAAAACGCATGATGCCTCATCCAGGGTCTAACCCTGTGGAATGACTGCCATGACTTCAGCAACCATATTAGCAAAGGAATGAGGCAGCTAGCACCACCCTGCTCTCACTGTGTCCTGCCCTTGCTGACACAACAAAGGTCAAACAACTGTTTGGCCAGCAAGTGTCAGCATGCTAGGAATTAATCTCATACAGTGCTGATGTGAAATAGGAACATTTGCTGCATACTGTAACACTGGCATTTTCTCTTATGTGACTAATGTTTGGAGCTCTGCTCGGAACCAGGAAGAAATCAGTGTACAGAACAGCATTTAAATATAGCTTTAATGTAAGCACATTCTTGTGAAGTCAATAGGACATAGGTACTTAAAAATTAAGAGACCTGATGAAGAATGTCTTGTATTCAAAAGCTTGTCTAACTTTATCCTAACTACATAGTTGATCCAATAAAAGATATCACCTTAAGAAATCCACACCTCTTGCATAATTTCTGGACCATCATGGCTACAACATCGCTACCTTCAAAATTAAGTACTTATTCAAGTGCTGTCCTGAATCAGGAACAGGATGTCCAAGATGATATTTTTTCTTGATGCAGCACCTCTTCTCAGAAATCTGAAGCTAATTTATAAAGATGAAGGAATTTGCTTCTGGATCCGAGTCACGGCACCAGGAATTGTTGTGGAAACACACGCAGCATACTTTTGGGTCAGGTCAGCAGAAGCTTTTATTCAAAAGAAACTACAGCTGTAGGGGGGATTCCAAAGTGACATGGATTTCCCAAGCACTTGGAAGGGGTCCCCCCCCAAGAGCAAAATCAGGAGGCTTATATACTTTTTAACAGTTGCTTACAACTCACGTGATCATATAGTGAAATTAGCATGAAAAGCGGCTATAATATTACTTCATTATTTCTTTGCTGTAATCAGGATGGGAACTAATGGGGGAGGCGAGGTTAGTTCACAAACCTCCTTCTTGCACCTGCAAATCAGAGTTGTACATACTTTTTGCTATCTTCAAGGCCGCGGTGAGCGAAGCAGTTGCAGAGGAGTTACAAAGAACAAACACTTTCTCTTATCTGTTCTACTATACAGAGCCAGCAATTCTCCACAAAGCGGTTATGTCATCTTATAACTAAAATAGTCAAAGTTTAAGGCATATATTTTTTCTGATTCCACATGAGTGTATGTGTGCTTAATTGATTTTTATGTGTGCATGTGCAATTGTACACCACGCCCTCCTATCTAACAGAGCAATATTGAGATCCTGAGCGTTGGCCTGACCCCTCAGGGCAACATAAGTACACTATAATTTGGTCATCTCATGATACAAACAACTGAACTTTGCAGATTAACAGGTCAGAAACCAGACACAATAAAGCCCCAGTTCGAAAAAGCATATAAACCTGTATTTAAATCAATTTCAATTACAGGCAGCCTTTCACCATATATCTACATTTAAATATATGCATATTTCCCCTTGATACTAATGATGAAGCTTACATGCATTAAGCCAAAAAAAAAAAAAAGAACCCCAAGGAGAATGTAACAAGAAGAGGACTTTTTCATTTATTTCAAAAGTTGCAGTTTAGTGTTAATGTATATTACTTCATTTACTACTGGTATAAAAGTAATGGAAATCATGATGATAATGGATGGTAAGCTTTGTGAAGCAGGGACTGACTTTTTCTTCTGGGGTTCTATAGCATCAAACACAACAGGTTTCTGATTCATGACTGAAGCTCCTGGACACTCACAATGTAATTCAGTGGTTAAGAAGACTTCATTTTAAAGAATATTTTCGAAAACTGGCATCCCTTTTTGGTACCCACAAATTGTTAACACAAATAACAGCCAATAATTTGGGGTTTGCAATTACTGTTACTTACTGGCTTTTCTGAATGTTTTATTTGCAAGCTTAGGCTCACATTTTAAAATGAGGGTACCTTAAGTTAGCCCTTCTGTCTCTAATTTTGTATAGAACTGCTGACCACTTGCAACTCCAACTTATTTGAGTAAGAGCTGGAGTCAATGTAGCTTTGCAAACCAAGTCATTAGTACTGAAGAACTTAAATATGAATGTAGACCTATCTATGATACCCCAAGGGGATTCTTTGGTGTTATGGTTCATATGAGTATACTTAAATGGCAATCACCAAATGATTTCAAACCTACCTACCATTTTTCAAGCACAAAAAAGGAGGGGCTTTGTTTTTTTAAGACTAAAAAATGAAAATGTAACCCTAAACCACTACCATTATAGTTTATCTAAAGATTTTACATCTTACTATTTCATGAGGTTCTCCTGCATTTATAGACACCAGTCTTGCTTTTTTAGACTATATTTCCATGGTTTGTGTGAACTCGCTGAAGAGCTATTTTCTATTCTAAAATAGAAAGAAAAAATGTATCATATCAGACACCAGCTATTTAATGGTACTGTATTAACATTATTTATACTGAAAGTGTTTTATGGAAGTGTTATACACAAGACAAACATATGTTGTAATATTTTTTCCTAAAATCATGCTAAAAATATGTCTTTATTATATTTTGAAACCATTTGTTATTTGATTGCAGGTACTGGCCTTATGGCACTGATGGCTGTCAAATTCATGGATTTCAGGGTTTCTTGACATCATTGGCCAGTATTAGCTCTTCTGCTGCTGTGGCATGGGATCGCTATCATCATTATTGTTCTAGTAGGTGTTATCATTTACCTAACTACTTCATTTAAACTTTTGATTTTAAAAGGTAACTTGTTTATGTGCAAAAAATCCCAATTAGTGACTATATCAGTCACAAACATTTTACATTAAAGATTTTTTAAGTCTCAAACATTTCAAAGTGTGCGGGCCACCTCCCGATCCCATCCATGTCGCCATGTGCGAGCCGGGAGCGATATGCGGACCCGTCTTTGCGCATGCGGGCTGTGGCCAGCAGCCCGGGCACGCGGGGTCAGAGGAAACCATGCGGCGGCAAGGCACGCACAGGCTAGAATTAGTCACAGAGGCGTAGTGGTTGATTCAAAGATTATTTACTTACACCCAAGATGGTCATGGTGTAGGCTGGACAGTTTCCAGGTTCAGCTCCGCTTAAATCCTCGTTGGAGGACTACGACAAATTCGGTTCTTGGGCCCCGGAGTTGTTAAGGCTCCGCGGGTTCGGCAATTTCTTTCCCACGGAGTTGTTAAAGCTCCGTGGGTTTGGATCTTGAGTATATAGGATAGGGATATGTCTAGGATTGCGCTCGGCGATGGGGAGAGGCCAGAGGCTGTTTAGACTTCTGTTGCCTTCTTAAGAAATGCGTTGGGTCCGTAAGGATCCGCAGCGCTTAGAGATCATCACGCTCTCCCTCTCGAACTCCAATAGATACAATAGCTGGTCTACCTCAAAAATATGCAGAAGATAATATTGTTACTATATAGTACCAATAATTTATAGGGAAGAAACACCATCTATACTAAGCTTGCCCAAACAATTTTATTCTAGAATGTCATTTTCAATTTCTTGTCATTCTTAATTTCCCTTTTTTTGCTAAAATTTAATATATTGGCTCATAGTCAGGGAGCAAATCATTTCAAAGGCTCAATAAGTTTTGCAGCAATATCTTCATATATTGACAGAAAAAGAGAAAATGTGTTTCTGGTAACAATATCCTTTTGCAAGTCAGCTTCATGCCTCAGCTGAAAAATCAAAGAAATGAAATATTTGGCAGAGAGCTACATCCTAGAGCAGGGGTCGGCAACCTCCAGCACATGTGCTATTAGTGGCATGTGGAGACATTTTTCGTGGCACACTGGGAGACATTCAAGGAAATTGTTTTTTGGGTTTTTTTAAGTTGCTGCTCTGGGCACTTACGTGCAGCCACAAGTTCCAGTAGCGCTACAGGCACCAGGGTGGAACCAGGAGAACACAGGCAGGGAGGCTGTCTGTGTCCTACTGCCCCTGCCCCTTGTTCCCAGGCTGCACCCTCCAGCTCCGTGGTCCCTGGAGAGAGCTGCACATGGTACAGGGCTAGGGCAGGCACTGTGCAGGGTTGCTGCCCTGGAGGCTTCTAGCAGGTGGCAGAGCCCTGGGCCCAAGCAGGCAGACACCCGGGTGGGGTAGCAATGCTGGGGCCGGGTAGTCGGGGCAGGGCCTGGGCAGTGTGGGGGGAGGTGTCATGGGCAAGCCAGCCCAGTTGGGGCCTTAGGAAGGTGGGGGCTGGGTGGGAAGTGTGGGATGCCCCAGAGCTCTGCAGGCTCGAGCTGTGGTGGGCGGGCAGGCAAGGGTGCCCAGGGGCACCTGTGGTGGGGCCTGGCCCAGCCCACGCAGCTCTGCAGGGATGGGCTGCAGCTGCCCTGCATGCAAGGGTATGCTGCCTAGTTGGGGCAGCATACTGGGTTCGGGGGACTTCCCTCTCCAGGATTGGCCTCCCTGCATACTGGGTACAGTGCATGCAGGGCAAAGCCATACCTGGTGCAAGGGCCAGGCTATGGGAGCCCCCTGGACCCTGTTAACAGCTACTACAGCTGCCCCAGCCTGCCCAGGCCCTGGCCCTGACCACCCACAGCTCCCTTTAAGCGGGCAGAGCTGGCCCGGTACTGCACAGAGCTGCTATACTGCAGGCTCCCGGCCGGCTCGGCCTTGAGCAGTGGCTGCAGTGGCTGT